CATATTTTCATTTTTTGTTTTGTTTTTTAGCCATAGAATCAAAATTAGGTTGGTTTTGTTTGGGGGAGGGAAGAGAGTCTATATTAACTTAAATCATTCAAAGCTACATTAGGTATTCTTGAGATAATCATATATAATCAAAGCTGACTGTCATACCTTGTACACTATACATTTTAACAAGTGAATATTTTGGGGGGTAACACAATAGTATCGCCATAGTATTAGAACCTTTTCCTTATTGCGAATCATGAAGAAGTTAAGTCACTACATTTCCCTCTTAGGAGAAAACCGAAGAGGTATTATAAAAAAGAAAGAAGGTAGTTTTCAAAGTATGAGAAACCACAATTGTTCTAAATTGGTCCTCTTTTTGGTTAACATGATTAAAACCAAAGATACTTCAACACACATGGTCTATAAAATATCAAGTTTTATATTGAAGAAAAAATGTTGGAACTTGTGTACTACGATGATCAAAATTCACAAGACCTACTCAGCATGCTGAATGAAGTCCAGGTGAAAACAGCTACAATAATACTGTTGTAATTGATGTTTTCTATTCTGCTACAGTAGCCTTAGGTTTACATAAGCAAATATATATGGATGCTCCAAAGAACGCACTTACAAACAGGGGTCGATTAAAAAAACACAAGCAGAATCACACAAAAGAGTAAAAAAAACATTGAGTTCGAAGCTAGTTCTAGCAAGCTATAAAAGGCTAATTTGAGTACGGACATTTTGCAAAGAAAGTAATACAAAAACAAACATAAGTTTTAATAGACAACTAGGTCTACCTCAGAAATAAATGGATCTTGTTGTCGTTCTGGAATAAATGACATGGAAGATTCCCCAGTTTGCTCTTGATGGCCCTATGAGGGTAAAGATTATGTCTAGATTACCATAACAAAACAAAAGACTTATAACACAATGATGTTTTAAGACTCAAGATCCACAAATAGGAATTATGTTTTTACTGATTGTAATTTAAGGTGAAGGAATTCTACATTCATTAATTTAATATATAAATAGGTATACTCTTAGGGAAAAAGCCCTATAATTTAAGTTCTCACACTTTTCCCTTTGGTGAAAAGAAATATTAGTAGATTTGTACACTAACTAGATAAATAGAAATGATAAATGTCACTAAACATCTACAGTTTAGTGTAGAACAGTATACTAGAAGTTAGAAAAATTTATTAAATAGCAGATATAAAAACAAGAACAGCAAGAAATTTTAGATTCAAATTTGTTCTACAACTGTATAATATACACAGTACATGACACACATTTTAGAAAGATATGACTAATCAAATTACGTACTTTCCTGATTCAAAGATAAACTGGCACAAAAGAAAAAAATAAAGAAAGAAGGAAAGAAAACAGTGAGTCAAACAGATCTTAGAATTTTATGGAAAATTATGCTACTGGCCATTTTTTTAAAAACCATATGCTTACTGGGTAAGAAAGATGATCAGCTGGTTGTCGAAATGGCTCTGAATCTTCACGTTCATATATGAGGCTCAATAGTTCTTTACATTGTTTTTTCCAAGTATCAGGATTACACTTTAAAGATTGTCTTCTGCCTTGGCACTTGACCTGCAGATTTTAAACTTATATCTAAAAATTCTTTAACTTTCCAGGCATTGCTTTTAATGTATTCCTAATGTTAATATCTCTATGTAAGATAGTACAGCTGCTAACTTTCTTAATTTAGATGCCATTCCCCCTTGACCACAAGTATGCAAAGACTAGATATTGCATGCATGGAAACAGCAAGAACTATCATACTCTGAATAGTCATTTTAAGAAATCTGAACCTCAAAAAAAGTAAAAACAAACAACTGCTTTCTCCTCTAACATGAATAGTTGTTAAGGCAGGCCTTTATAATTACTGGTAGTTACATATACTTGACAATATCACCGTAATTTTCTCAAAGTAATACATAAAGTTTAAAAAAATTAAAGACTTCATGGATATGATAAATTCTGGCCTTTAACCATTTGCTACTCTTTTAAATAATTTCTTTCAGTATTACAAAGGAAATTGTTTCTTAAAATGGCTAATTACCACAGAAGCAAAGTATGTAGAAAAGAATTACTATTGCAGGTTTCAAGTATGTGTCTCTTAAAGAGCCTACGTATAGATCTTGTTTAGCATTTGGGGATATGGTACTTAAACCATCTTCTAAGTCCTAAGGGTGGTTTAACTGTGACTAGGATGTTTGTGGAGGCCTGCTGGTGGAGTGGGTTACCTGTTGAGCTGCTAACCACAAAATTAGCAGTTTGAACCTACCAGCTGCTTGGCTGGAGAAAGATGAGGCTTTTTGCTCTCTTAAAGGCTTATAACCTTGGAAGCCCACAGGGGCAGTTCTACTGTATTCTATAGGGTCACTATGAGTTGGAATTAACCCAACGGTCTTATTTTTTGTTCAGAGACGGTTTGTATAAAGAATATTGTACTGAATCTTGGTATGCACAAGGCAGAGGGTGCCTATATGAACAACCCCCTCCCCAACATTTTGGAGACTGTGTCTAATTGCTAAGGAAAGAATAAAGGAGCATAGGAGGGAGAGAGCATGGAAAGTTGGCACACACATTCAGCCCAGATTGTGTCAGTGCTTTTGTCTCTTATGATCCAGCTGCAAAGCTTCATTACACAATAATAAAACTACAGCCACGAGTAAAATGATCTACTGAATCTCCTGAACACTAGGGGTTCTCCAAATGCTAGGGTGGCCTTGGAGATCTGATATGGGAAGGTAACATTTTTTATTTTCAGCAGTCAATTTATCTACTCACTCTTCTTCCAGATGAAGTCCCAGGGCCATCTGAATCTAAATCAACCATCTCTGTATCCTAAAATTAAATGCGGAGGGTGGGAGAAAAATTTAAGTTATATTCAATGTTTATAAAGATAGATGCACATGCAAATATAATCATAATAAAGTTTTGCTTAATAGAGCAAGCAGGAGAATAAAGGCTAGGGGGAGACTAACTCCAAGTTTTGCCAATAAGCTATGAACAAACTGAAAAAGTTGAGTTGAACAAAGTTTTTCTTTAAATCAGCAAAGCAACTAAGGAAAATGTGTAGTAATTGGTATGTGCTAATGTTGTACCTAAATATGTGTCAGTATTTGCCAAGAAAAAACAAACTTATTCTATATGACAAACCAATTTAATATATCCATGAATTACTCATGATAAATCCTTTGCTATTTCAAGAAATAGTTCTTTTACAAAAATAAAGTATAGCTGTCTACATACATGGGAGTTGCTATATGACAACTGGGACAACTGGCTTGGTTCTGGATTTTCTTAAGTTTCAGTTAAGTATTGGTTAGAGATTAAATTATGTGCCCCCCAAATACGTGTGGGGATCATAACTCCTGTACCTATGGATATAATCTCCTTTGGCAATGTGGTTTTATTTTATCTTACTGAGGCATTAGCACTGTAGGGTGTGCCCTAAATTTAATCATTTCTGAGTTATAAAGAGCAAATTAGACAGAGACAAGGATCTTCCTCCAGAGCCAATGGGGAGAGAACCTTTCCCTGTACACAGCACCTTGAATTCGAGCTTCTAGCCTCTTGAACTACGAAGCCCTGGTGGAGCAGCAGGTAAGCACGCAGAAGCTAAAGGTCAGGGGCTTGAACTCACCAGCTTTTCTTCAGGAGAAAAGACCTAGTGATCAGCTCCAATAAAGATTGACAGTTTAGGAACCCCTATGGGAAAGTTCTACTCTGTTCTACAGGTTCACTAAGAATTAGGACTTGAGGACACTGTGAGAAAAAGGCTCTTTAATGACATCATTTGTAGTACTTCTGTTTCAGCAACACTAGCTAAGATCGGACCTATCTGAGTCTGAGTGATAATTTTATAATACAAAGAAGCAAGGCACAAGTACTACTGTAAACCTGATGATAGCAATTCAAATAAGAAGAATAATGACTAGGAGAATATTAAATTCATGAGCTATTGGTATTCTTTTGTAAAATGAAAGCTATTGAATTAAAATGTACTTGAACTTTCTATCCTAACACGAGTAGTGTTACTATGAGGATAAATTATTGCTGTTATTAAATCCTGAGACAAAGGACATTAATGTGAAAAGTCAGAGAAAATATTAGAAATACATATGATAAATTCTTAATAGTTTTCAGAGGATGATATCTAATTGTTATCTTTGTATTTCCCTTACTACTGTATATATAACTTTTAACTCCAAGAATACCTATAGTATCTTATTGTTACAGCCATTTTTATGGAATAGTGAAAAGAAAACCATAGATTCTGGATATTTACAACACAGACCATCTGAACATGCAAAATATTTCATACCAATGCAATAGAATCTAGTCTATTTGAGTCACTCATCTCTCAGATAAATTGCTTTCCACTAAAGGTTTCTGAGCCATCGTTTTCCATTTTGCTCCATCCTCTTCTCTTGGTTTTGCTCTGCATCATAGCCTCCAGTATAAACTGGCTGAGTGAATGGGAAAAGCTAATACGCGAGGGTCTGCTGAGAGTGCAGATTCAATTTCATTAAGAAAATATTGGTCTCTTTTTATAAATTTTCATAAAGGAAGTCAAGTACCATTTCCATGAAACCACTAAAACTGTACATGATCAAGCCTAAACTTTAATATTTCTCTTATAATGGACAGAAAATAAAATTTACACTAAAATTCCCATTATCTCATCACTCTTAAAATACTGGGATATATATCTTGTTTTAAAGGCTAAAAAAGTAAAGTGTTGATTGCTTATTAAAACCCATGGAGTCAAATAGGGTGACTGGATATCTGTCTTTAACTAAATATTGTAGCACTATTAAATTTTTGGCATGTGCCATCTAAATACAAATTAAAGGATTAAATGGGAGAAGAGTCAAGTGTTCACCCAGCTTGCAGAAATCTGTTTCACTGCTCAAAGCCAATTACAACACTTATACATAATGTTTCACTTCAAAATAAAAAAAAGATTTCATTCCTAATCATGTTGTGTATCTTACCTCCTCTGCATCAGTACTATTTATTTCTTCTGCTTTAATTTTGTTATAAGTATCCAGGATATCAGTACAGCTCTGATCCCTAAGAAACAAGACAGATAAATCAAAATTCATTTGTTAGTAGTTTAAGCTGTTGAATACAGAGTTGATGATCTGAAATGTAACCCCCCCACCTAATTTACAAAAAGTTATTTAAAAATGAAAAATCAAAATTCATTTCAATAATAAGAAAAATCCGCAGAATTTGAGAACATTGGAAGAGAGAAACTCTTTCATACCCAATAAAACGAAGTAAGACATCAGTTACAATTTTGGCTGCTTTAACTATAGGACTGTCTGGCTCATTGAAAGTCCTGGCATTATGCTCAATGTAGCGTACTTCCCACATTAATGCCGATATTCTCCTATGTAAGAAAAAACACCTTCTGTTAGACTTGGTTAATATATTTTATGTCTATTCTAGGAATATACAACTCAGAACAATCAGGTAATAATCATATTATGCCAAAGGTGTTCCAATATATGTATTTAATGGTGTGCACACAAAAAAAGAGATGATATAGTCACATTACTTGAAGAACAGGAAAGCACTTCAAACCACTGCACTGCATATTAATTAACATTTGGAAAAACCTGACTGAGAATATTATGGATGACAAAAAACAAAAATTAAGTGTTTTGACAGTTAAAACAATGTCTACTTATCAGGGGAAGAAACAAGAATAAGAAAAAATCAAACTAGAATATTAAAAAGTAGATTTTTAATATGGATTATGGATATAATTTATGATGTATTACCTATTACTTTAATGCCAGATATTAGTAAATAAGATGGAATATAGTACTATAAAAATACAGTTAAATCTCAGTTACAAAACGCAAATTAAACAATTCATGGAATAACTGCAGTTGGGGCACAGTGGAAACTGGGATGAGAGGGGGAACATACATAATCATCTCATAATTGCTCTCAAGCAAAACTAAACTTGCCTCTCTTCCTATATACATTTTCAAGACTGGTAATTAAATCTAATTAACTACTAAGACCTCAACAAGGTGATTTAAATCTCTAAAAGCACCTTAATGATGCTGAATTCACAAAACCACTTAATCTATGTTTAATAATCAAAAATTAATTTTAATTTTGTTTTATTCATGATTTATGCTCCCTTGTGCTTCCTTCTCTACCTCATTTTTTTTTAACCAAAGAAGACTGCGATAATTTATTGAATAAATGGAAATTATGGTGATTTTAGAAGAAATTTTGGAGTATATCTTTTGAATGATAACTTTGCACTATGGAAAACGCATGTCAGTGTGTCATCATGCAAAAAGGAAAGCAAAAAATACAATGTTTTGAATTTCATAATAACTGGTAAAATTAAACAGACCTGTAAAAGCGATTTTCAAGTCTCCGCCTGATGGTGTTGAGGTCAGTTGGATATGCAACTACAGTACAATACAAGGGGTAGGCACTGAGATCCACTGGAACAGCAAAAGGGCTAGAAAAATCTACAGAATTACCAAAATTAAAAGTTATAAAGGAAATTCATATTGCATGTTAAAACCTAAATTAACATTCAAAGATAGGCAAGAAAGAGTGATACACTACATTACTAGAATGACGATGACTTAATTTTTATTGCATATATCTATGTTGTTTTTAACATGCATTGGATTTAAATTCTGTAAATTAAAACAACTTCTCAAGTAATATATTTTAGGAATGATAACTATTATTTTGATGTTGTGGTGGCTTGTCATTGATTCCAATTCAAAGAGATACTGTAAAACAAAGTAAGATTGCCCCATAGGGTTTCTGTGGCTGTAATCTTTACAAAAGCAAGACTGCCACATCTTTCTCCATAAGAAAGGCTGGGGGGTTTCAACCACTGAGTTAGCAGTTATCAGCCAAATGTTTAATCATCAAGGCTCTTGATTAGGGTGATTAAGTTGCATTACTCCCCACTAAGCCCTGGTGTCTCTATATGGGTTGGGTGTCGGACTACAAGCTACATAGTCCAGTGGTTCAAACCTACTAGCATCTCTGTGGGACAAAGATGAGACTGTCTGCTCTTGTAAAGATTTATAACCTCAGAGACTATGAAGTAGCTATGAGTTGGAACTGACTCGAGAGTGTCAGTTTGGGTTTGGGTCTTTTTAAAAAAAGTTTTATTGGCACTTCATCTCCATACACATACCATAAATTCAATAGTTCAATCTCATCAAGAAGAGTTGTACAATTCTTACCACAAGGGTTTTGGCCTCTACCACGGAATCCTGCCTAAATAAGGCTAAGGGACTAGCTAGAGAGCCAAAATGACTTGAGAAACAAGAAAACACGTACATGCTTGCCTTTACTATTAATCCCCAGAGTGTTAAAAACTTTGTCAGTCATTACTTTGGCCAATTACTTTGGAGATTATATCTATATCTATATATATCCAGTGACTGTGAGTTGAAAGTGAAAAATATAGCGAGAAAATGTATTTGCTTTTATAAAACCAAAATTCTGTGAGTTCTCTAGCTCTCTTTAATTTTCCTAATAGGAGGCTTCCAAAAATTCATGAAAAATTACATTAATTTTTAATTCAACTTTTCCATGAAATTTTGAAGCTCTTTTGTGTTCTTTTGCATTCATCATACCCAAGGAAAGGAGGTGGTTGATGCCCTGAATAACCCGTTCACATTCCTCATCTCTGGAATGAGCCCCCCATTCGCCTTCCTGGGGTTTGTATAGTAAAGCAGTCAGCTCCTCCTGGGACACGGGAACGCCAGCACCAACTTCATCTGGAAAAGCAGCTACGTATATGATGAAAAATAAAAAATAATTAGTTTCCAGTATCATGCCTTTGCCACTTTATTGTGAAAAGAATTATAATTCATTTTGAAAAGCATACTTACTTCCTTCTGGAATTGGTTCCATGTCCCAGGGGCTCATCTTTTCTCTCTCATTATTGTCCCAACTATAAAAAAATTACAAGATGCAAACAAAATCCACACAACTCTTCTGAATGCTAACATAATTTTCATATTTTGGGGGTAAATTTTACAAAAGGGCAGTATTGTTGTCTGTAACGTAACATTAACTTGAATAAAGATAGTAATTGCAAATAAAGACAACATGATTTACCAATATGAAATTGAGAGGGCAGTATGACTGTTAGTCTTGGTTTTTTTCTTCCAACAAATTATAAATTCAATAATAGGGAAGGCAAAAGAAAATATCGTTTCAACTAACATTCAATTTAATAGTTTTCTTACTTCTTTCTTTTTACTTTATCCTGATAACTTATGTAATAAAACCCTTCTAAAATGTTTCTATTATCTCCTTGTCACCTGCAATGTGGAAACTCAATCTTCACAGAATAAACATTTCTTCTATAATTTTTGAAAAGAAAACATCATTTAGAAGAAAAGTTACAATCCTGGAATTGCATGAAAAATTAAATGATGTCGAAAAATAGTACCCCCTATAAACATAATGCAATCACAATTGCCTAGAATGTATATGATCGCTAAAGATCTAAAACTACATTACACACAATTTCAGTATTCTCTTTGAACAAATAGTTGCTAATTCTTACGATGGCAGAAATTCCTCAGAGAAAATTAGGACATAAGGAAGTCAGAAATAAGTATTTAGTGCTTGCTTTGCTTTGGCATGCATATTGGACCAAAAGGGTTATCATCATCAAATTTCTTCCCTACAGGTACACTGTAATACTAAGTAAATTTAGAAAAAAGTATTCCTGATAAGGTTTACAGAAAGTCCACATACAGTATTATGCAGGGTAGTAAAGAAGATAACCATACTTACTGGACACTGTAACACTGGAAAGAACTATCAGGATACTCTGGTTGAAAAGGCTGCTGACTCTCCACAGTTCCAAACCACCAGGCATCATCTATTATACTGCGAAATCTATCACCTATGATATTTTAAACATTTCTTTAAGAGGTGTGCTTAGCTAAACCCCACCCACTCTATGTTGTTGCTGTTTGCTGGATACACAAGTAGCATTAATAGAAATTTTATGCAATCTGAGTTTTCCCAGATAATTGAATTTTACCTTATTTTTCACATTTTTTGACATTTTCATGTGTTAAAATAATTCCTGAAATAAATCAGATCTCTCCATGTCATTTTAAATAAATGCTATATAACAAAATTTAGGCTTTATTAGTTACTTGGGTTCCTCATTAGGTATACTCCTTACTGTACTATATGTATGTTATATTTTTTTCCTTTTAGATTGTTTGCTTTAAAAAATCTTTACATATTAGTTTTCTATTTCTTAATGCCTGAGAATTACAAAATCTAAGTATTACCAACAAAAAAAATGTTTCTTACATATTAGTAGAGTTTAAAAAAATCTAATGGAAGCATTTACACAGTGTTCACTATGTGCCAAGTACAATTTTATATGTTCTGTACATTCACTCATTTTTACATCTCATAGATGTGTCATGATGTGCTCCACATTTTATAGATGAACGAAGTGAGGCCCAGTGAAGTTAAAACTTGCTCAAGATCAAATAATGACTGAGCCATGATTCCAAATCAAGGTATAAGGCCTCACCTTTCAAAACTATTTGCGATGGCTAAAAAGATATTTTTAAAATCTAGGCATATGAAGCGTTTGTGCAATCATAAAGATGGAGAGAAGATGTTTGTTTGACCTCTGCCTCATGATAGTGTTTATTCTCTGGATAGCTAGATGGCCATGCACTTTATCGGGTAATTTTCTGTAAAGAACATGGAAAATTAAAATTTTGAATCTTTCCATTGGTTGTAGTCTTTGGTTATTCCTGTGTGACATGGCAAAAAATGAATGTGATTAATGTATATTTTGAGCTCAGGGGACAAAATCACCTCTGGCCTAATGCTGTCAGAAGCCAAATCCCATATTTTGTATCAATGGAAGAGTTTAGATAAGGATCTAGGTAAGCGAAATACGGATTGAACTTGACTGTTTTAAGAATTGAATTTGGGATCTGATTCTACTTTGTTTATACTGATTTCTTCTTATGGTAATATATAAGCAATTGTCCTTAATTTTTCCCCCCCTTATATTAGTGTTCTATTGTTTTGGGGTAAGACGGGAAATGAAGAGAAAACAGAGAGAGGTTCTGGTTCATTTCATGCAGGGCTCTGAAGCACGGAAGGAAGGAGGGGAAAAGGAGAAGGAAAGGAAAGAGAAATACTGGAGAGGAAGAGGGAGGGAGAGGAGAGAATGAGGAAAAGAGGAAGGTAGGAAGCAAAGAAAGAAGGACCGAAATAAACCACAACCAGCAGTGATCTGTTTAACACATCCAAATATCAAGTGCTCTGTTTTAGGTCAATTGATTTGACAATTTTCTTTCTAATCTGGTTTATATTGTAGTAGAGAAGGTATCTATTGACACATCTGAGGCTATGCATGATGTGTGAAAAGGCTGAAAAGAAAATTTAATTTAATTCTTCTAATCTGGCTGATTGTTTTGCCTACATGTCTGGTCACCTAGTTTATTTATGTTTTTTAAATGAGAGTAAAAGAGGTAGTTTACTTCAAAACTTCACAATTAATAAGGGACAATATTATATTTACCAATCTGCCAATTTCTTTCTTTAGCTTCATTGTAAAACTGATGCAGCACAAGGAAGTCAATGACATCTGGCATGTCATGATACCTATTCAAAAAATAAAGCAGATGTAAATCAATATAGAGTGTATACAAACGGGTTTCAAAGAGTTCGTGGAAAATTCTATTTTTTCCATGAACTTTTTTGAAGCTCCCTCATATTACTAAATGTCCAAGGACATTTTAAATGTGGAATTATCAGGCAAAATATTACAAAGCTTCCTAGAAATGCCATAAATTAAATAAACCCCATATGCAATGATCTGTTCAGCAGTTCCCTGCCTACTGCTGCATTACCTTAATAACATAATGATATCAATGAGTGCCCTTAATATTTAAGATAAGCATTTTATATATTAGGTTTTAGAATTGATGTTCTTCCTTCTCTATGTCAAGCTCAATTTGAAGATATGTCATGTACTTATTTACTATAACAGAAATAAAAGAAAGCACCGTATTTCAAGCATAGAACTAAGTACTTTGTAAAGGTTTCCTTTTATTCTGAGAAAGCTATTTTAGTATTTATATTTCATTTTACATTAAGTAACTTGTCACTTAAGTGGAGAAATCAAGAATTACACATTGGTCTTTGTACTTTTAAGCCTGTGTTGTTTCCTCTTCCAGAATCCTATACTCTATAGGGTACACAATAAATATTCAAATACGCACACCCACACCACACACACAGCGACAGAGAACCAGAAAAAAGTTACTTACTTAATAGAAAAAGATTCTCCAGTCATTTTGCCTGAAATAGGGTCCAGAAATGCAAGTTTCAAGCAGCATAGCGTGGGTGGTCCAACCTCATATTTGATTCCTACAATCTTAACAAATTCTTGCTCCTATTCATGAAAATATCAACATAATATTATTTTCAAAATAAACTGCCTATCATTTGCATAATATTTCATTATTACTTAAATGATATAAACTTATCTGAATATAATTGTAATAAGTAAGACAAGGTTCCTGACCATTAATAGGTTGAAGCTTATGGTGGCATAGGGGGTTATGGATTGGGTTGCTAATTCAGTGGTTAGCAGTTCAAAACCAAAAGCTGCTCCATGGGAGAAAGATGGGCATTCTACTCCCATAAAGAGTTAAAGTCTTGGAAACCCACCGGGGCAGTTCTACGTTGTCCTATAGGGACACTGAATTTGAACTGACTAGATGCCAGGGAGTTTTGGTATGGTTTCTTGGGTGGTGATATGAGTTGATTGTTGAGCTACTATCCCAAAGGTCACCTGTCCAACCCACTACCTGTTTTGTGGGAGAAAGATGAGGCAGTCTACGTTATAAAGAGTTATTGACTTGGAAACCCTGTGGAGAAATTCTACTCTACCTGAGACAGTTGCTATGAGTTGCGATTAACTCAATGGTAGTGGGTTTAATTCAGTACATCTGATATAATGTGTAGTCATGTATATTTGAGAAAACTCTATAGGGGATTTTCCATGTTCTGCCTGCCTAAGAGCTGTTTTGTTAGCAGAAATAAACTATGTGAATGCATAGGTGTACATGCATATGTTTTGGGAGCAGACATAAACTTTTTAAAATGTCTATAATACTATCTCCCATTATTGCATTATTAGTCATATCTAACAGATGACAAAACTGACCCTCACACATAATTTGCTTAAAGTTATATACTAGTATATGGCAGAGCTGGTATTGAAATCCAGGTGTCATTCCAAAAGCGCATGCTCTTACACCACACACAGGTGGTCTCCCACAATTTCCTGAAACCATAATATTAGTATGAAAAATAAGAAACCATTATGTTTTACTTATTCCCATGATCCTAAAAGAGAACTTAACTTCCATCTGATTCAGAAAAGGTGGTTGTCATCTATTAGTGAGCCAGAACATTCACTTAGTTATGTATCAATGACATACTTAATAATATAATTTTATAGGTATATAAATATATGTATGTGTGTATGTATTTATGTATGTATGTATATATGAATGAGAAGCTCTGGTGGCATAGTGTGTAATGCATTCAAGGTCTGCAGTTTAAATCTATCGGCATCTCTGCAGGAAAAAGATGAGGTTAGCTGTTCCCATGAAGATTTAAAATCTCAAAAAACCTACAGGGGCAGTTCTATTCTGTCATATAGGGTTGCAATGAGTCAGAATTGACTTCTTGGTAGTGTGTTAGGTTTGTGTGTGTGTGTGTGTGTGTGTGTGTGTGTGTGTATAATTTCTATTTAGGTTTGCATTTTATTTTCTATTGCTTTTCCAACAAGCATCTGGAGGGCAACTTTATAGTGTTTTTCAGGTAAATGAAGGGTTGTTATATGATGATTAGCATGTTGAAAACAATGAAGGAAATAGTTTATTCTTTGATCCACAAAGCACTGTAAGTTTTTAAGGTTCTTGAGATATATGATATTTAATGTAATCCAGATCTGACAGGTCTTTGAGGGTGATTACAGTCAAGCTATCTAGTCAGTTCTAGAACTTTTGATTTGTACAATGCTGCTGATGGGGAACATATTCAGACCAGGGAACTCTCCTGCTTTGCTCTAGAGCAGCGGTTATCAACCTGTGGGCTGCGACCCCTTTGGGGGAGCCCAATGACCCTTTCACAGGGGTTGCCTGATTCATAACAGTAGCAAAATGACAGTTATGCAGTAGCAACGAAAATAATGTGATGGTTGGGGGGATCACCACACCATGAGGAACTGTATGAAAGGGTCACGGCATTAGGAAGGTTGAGAACCACTGCCCTAGAGGACGCGAAGGAAATTAGGTGAAATAATTAAGACCATATAAAGCATATAAACTCAAGAAAAGTATAAATGTATCCCACAACACTCAGCTGTATGAAGAGTATTGTGTATCGTCTTATCTTGAACACACAATTAGCAGCAAAGTATGCATGAAATTTAGCAAAAGAGGGTTGTCAAATAACTTAATTAAAAATCCACCTCAATGATAGAGCTTATGAAATTAGCAAACTTACTCTGAGGTCCATTTTGTTCCATGGTTGTTTCTGTAAATTAACGCTGTATATTTTTGATTTCCTTACAGCCCGCACATAAGCTTCATGCCCTTGCCTAAAATATATAAGCTAAAAGAAAGGACATAAGGTATTAAACAGCAGCTTCCTCTTTTAATAATTCTATACAGTACAATGCACCTTTAAACACTCTCTTCTGTTGGCCACACTTGGAATTTTTTTAAAAATGTACAATAAAAATTATTTTTACCATTAAATGATGTTCATTCAGTACTTATGCCTATATAGCCCTGCATTAAGTACCATGTAATATAAACAATACACACATATGCACTTTAACCTTAGTGACTTTCTAAGTCTGCTATGGTTAAAATAACTAAATGAATATACACAAAACTGGTCATCTTTCCAGTCATAACTTACATCTAATTAATTTATTAATTTTTAATAAATCATTTCATTGGGGGCTCTTACAGCTCTTACAACAATCCAGACATCAATGCACATTTGTGCATATGTTGCCATCATCATTTCCAAAACATTTTCTTTCTACTTGAGCCCTTGGTATCAGCTCCTCTTTTTTCCCCTCCCTCCTCCACCCTTCCTTTCATGCTCGTGAGCCCTTTCTAATTTATAAATTATTTTTATTTTCATATTTTATGTTTTCCACTGTCTGCCTTCACCCACATTTCTGATATAACTGATATTTTAAATATCAATACTTTAATACTAATATTATCCACTACACACACACACACACAAACACTCACACAGGGGTAAATAACAAGTATTGTTACTAAGGTTCCAATTCATATGTACATGGGTTTATTCCAAAAAAAAAAAAAAGGTTTCTAAAATCAGTAGATGCCTGCAGAAAAATTCTCTGAGTAATACATTTGTCTTCATCTAATTAGGATACCTTCAAAGACATTCAACCATTTTGAGCTCACATTTCATTCTAGCCCCAATCTGGGAACAATCAGCTCTTATGGCATGGACCTGCTTAATGTTCTCCCTCATGAAGAGATGATTGAAGTTATGAGTGCTATAACAAAGTATGGCGAAGAAATTAGATGGTGCCTGGCTATTAGAAAGAAGAGCATCTGGGGTCTTAAAGGCTTGTCGTCAAACAAGCAGGCATCTGAGTGAGACGTGAACTGGGCCCACTTGGAAGAAATACACAAACCTGAGTGAACCAAGGATTGTGAATAATAAAAACTAAATCCAAAGGAGGGAATCAAGTCAGAGCTTAAATTGTGACCATCCAGTTTGTAGAAGGTTATCAAGGACAGTGGGAGCCCAAAATCCATTCACAGAGACCACATATGAATTAAGCCTCTGGTGAATCCCCTCTGACCATAGACGAATGATTTGAATAGCCTTGCTATCATGCAGATTGAAATATTTTTTTCATTTGTTTGTCTGTATTTTGCTTTGTTTTATGTATGAAATCTAGGCAGGGTAGAACAGTGACTGCATTGATTTTTTGGAGGGTGTGGCAGGGGACGTTGCAGGCAGATGGGGAAATGATGACAATGACTACCAGAAAGAAGTAAATTTTGTAAAATTGACTGTGGAGATGACTATACAACTCTTTTTAATATGATTGAACTACTGAATTGTATATGTGAATTATATGCCAACAAAGCTGTTAAGAAAATGATCCCACCAAAATGGTGGTCTCCGAGGAGATCTGTTTGCCAGTTCAAACGAAGGCAAAGAGGTCATTTCCAAAAGTTATGGTGACAGTTTATTGGACTTGATGGCAGTGAGTGGGAATCTTAATAGATTTTCTCGATGGATACAGGACGATCATGGGGCCTTTTATGACATTTCAAGAAAACAGAAAACTGCACTGATTAGAAAAAGGTAGGAACATTTTGCTGAGGAATTCTTCTTCATAATAACAATGTACTTGCTCACTCTTGAAGGTAGCAAGCACTGTCGTATGAGAATTTTGCTGGGAAACCTTACCTCATCTACCTTAGAGTACTAACCTTTCCTTTCAAGCATCTTTTTGTTTCCAAAACGAAAAGAACTTTGAAGAGGCACACAATGGGTAGCCCTCAAGGATGCCATAGTCGTTTTGATGGTATAAACTAAAGAGTGCAGAATTCTTTGGGGGAAGGGTTTGAGAGATGCCATTCAAAAATATATAGACCAAGATGGAGAATACGTTGATAAACAATACTTTGAAATTTGGTTTAATAAAGATTTCTATTATTTTATAGCAATATATGTTTACTAACCCTTGTGTGGGTGGGCATGTATATGTGTACACACATGTGTTGGTGTGTGTGCATAGTTATAATCACATACAGGACACAAAATTAAGTCATTTTAAGATTAAATGAAAAGTATTCTAAGCATTCACATCAGAACTAACCTGACATGAAAGGAAAATGTATTCAAGTGTTTGGTGAAACTACACAGTTCTTTTAGGGCAGGATTTACTACCATGCTCTCAATTCATTAAAATAAAAGTTTCTTTCTTGTCAATAATTTTAAAGTGAAGGTGACGATAAGCAAAAGAAAGTAAAATAAAAGAACACTAAACTATGAGTTTAAATAATATACCGACATATGCTGCCAACGATTTTATGTAAATCTTTTTCTACTTATAATTTAGCTACTATAAGTTAGCAGAATGATAAATATAGAGTTAAGTCTTAGCATAAAATATAATTTTAAGAAAGCTAATATTAAACATGTTATTCCGAAAGTATTTATCATGTATTCTCTTCTTACAGTCCACAAATACTAGATACTTATGAAGCATAAAAAGAAATGTTTTTCCCTCAAGAATATAGATATACATGTAGACAAGTGAGAGCGTCTTCAAAAAGTTTGTGGAAAAAGATGAATTAAAAGATAATAGAATTTTCCTGCAAACTTTTAAAGCCCCACTCATAAAACTATAAATACAACATAGAATATAACATGTATCATCGCACTGCCAGTGAATTAGTTTTGACTCATAGAGACCTTATATAGGGTGTGTAAGGTGGTAAATCTTTACATAAAGTCTCGACTTTCTCCCATGGAGGAGTGACTGATTGGTGGGTTGAAACCATAAGGAGGAATAATTTAGGTGGGAATTAGAGATCATATTGAGGAGAAGGTATCAAAGATCTGTGGTAACTGTGTACCTGGGTAAATGATATTTAGATGAAGGGCTTTAATAGATAAGATTAAAAGTAGCATACCTATTAAGAGATCATTTGTATAAAATGTATGCCAGTATTTCTGCCTTTATGAGTTACTTTATTAAAATTATGTATTTGGCATATTTCACTGTGTGAGTCTATTATACACCTTCCTCATTACCAGAACAATTATCATTACTTAATATACACCAGTCTTAAAGGCTACTAGGATGTACCACCGAGTTTAACAAAATAGATTAATATTGTAAGCTCCCATTATCTCTTAAAAAAATCTCTAGGTGGTATAAATGATTAATGTACTACTTACTGCTAACCTAAAGGCTAGTGGTTCAAGTCCTAAACACTTAGAGATACCTAAAATGAAAGGCTTGGTCATCTGTTCCCAAAAAAATAATAAATCATGAAAACTCTAAGGAGCACAGTTCTATTGTCACATGGCATAACCATGAGTCAGAATTAACTTGATGGCAACTGGTTTGTTTGCTTTTGCTTCTTAGTTAACTATCCACAAGACGAAACAATTAAGCAAATCAGTTAAAATAAAAGTATATAAAACATAATAATTTTAAGAATATAAATGTTCTAGAATTAATGAACTTATTCCGGAGGCTATAAGAGATAAAAAGAGCAGGTAATAATTACCTCATCTCCCATCTGTGGGACAAATGGAGAACGTCTTGGTATGGTATCCAGGATCCATTGAGGGGCAAACCATTCTTCATTGAGTTCACCGGCCAAAGAAACTAGTCTTCCTTTCTAAAATACAGTTCACAAATATATACACCATAAATACATGAAGACATAGAGAATGTTACAAACATAGGACTGTAATAAAACCGAAAATATATTTTTGCATATGAGTTTGAATAAATTTCATACAACTAAAATAATTAAGAAATTATTTAATGTGTTGCTTAATTTTTCCTGATAGGAACTATCCTTCCCATCTAAAACCAACCAGTTTTACTTATAGAGGGGGAAAGAAATTCAGTGGAATGAAATAAAAATACGTAATGAACTGGAAGGGGAGTCTTACATAATTTAATTACCATATTTTTCTATTTTAAAAGTTTAAAAAATACAGAAATGTATAACTGGTGACATGAAATGGACTTTATACTGTGCTGATTTATTATTTTATAAGTGCTACAAAGAGCCTATAGTTTAAATAAAACATAAATTTCAAAACATCTTTGTATTCTGAAGTAATTTTAAACTATCATTACCTAGTTTCTCAGATGAAATGTTACTCTTAAGAAAAAGTCAAGCACAACATATTCAAATGTCAAAGGCAAACAAACAACAAAATGCAAAAGTGCATACTTTCTTTCTAGTCTGTTTAGGTTTCTTTTCCCTTTCTTCTAATGACTTCACATTCTCCTCCTCAGAGCTGCTGCATATTTTCCGTGTTGTCTGTCTCGTTTGTCTCTTTGGAGGTTGCAAATTTATCCCTGCATCTGCGGTCCAATCAGAATATTCACTAGATGAATCACTGTAAATAAAGCAAAATTATAAGTATATAAAATAGAGAAGGAATGGATTAGTTTTATAACTGAAGATAATCATTTTTAAGCAAAAAACCTTTAAAGTGACATCATTTGTACTTTAATTAACATGGGAGAAAGAAATACCAATATGATTCTTATCTAAGTCAGCGGTTCTCAATCTGTGGGTCGTGACCACTTTGGGGGTGGAACAACCCTTTCATAGGAGTCGCCTCATACACCCTGCACATCAGATATTTACATTATGATTCATAGCAGTAGCAAAATTATAGTTATGAAGTAGCAATGAAAATAATCTTATTGTTGGGGGTCACCACAACATGAGGAACTGTATTAAAGGGTCACAGCATTAGGAAGGTTGAGAACCACTGATTATAATGAAATGTTTCTTAGATGAAGTAGAATGTTTTGTTTCCTATAATAGGATTTAAAATCTCTATCCAAATGTGATGGTTGGGGGTGTCAACTAGACACTCCTGGGTAGTGTTGGGGTGGGGGGCAACACATACATTGGGTCACAGTCTGATGAAATTTGGGTTATAAACTTTTTTGTACAAAAGGCAAGAAGCTTGGGACTTCTCTCTCTCCCTCTGCCACTTTATCTTCCTGCTTGCTGGGACTCTGCCTGCCTCCAGGGGTGGCTGGTCCTAAGCCGGCTAACTGAACCTGAGACGTGTTGGTACTCTGCCATGTTGCCATCAACTTTGGATCCACGTGACTCTGCATCACTGGCCTGTGAGCGTCCTGTTTCATGCTTCACTTCTCTGTGTCATCAGCCTGTAGCTATATGAGTCTGAAGAGGGTCCCAGCTCGCATCAAACGTGTGGACTTGAGCAGGACTGGCCTGGGATGCCCTCTTGACATCAAATTACTTCTTCATGATAAAGCTCTTCCCTGTATGAGTGTCACTGATTTTGTGTCTCTAGACAACCTGGCCCAACATACCAAATCACGAAATGTTTTTAAAAATATGAACCTGGGGATGGGGACAAGATTTCATCCTGATGACAAACTCCACTGAACATGTCAACAACAGAGACATCAAAAAAAACAAAAAACAAGTGGGGTACACACAGGTAATCATCTTGGAACTCTGAGCATCAACTGAAAAGATAAAAGTCTGGACTGAATACCATTTATAAAGGTAAACAAAAGAGTGATTGAGAAGAGAAATGGAGCCTGGGCCGAGCACTGCATCTACAACCACTTTGAGAAACAAAATGCAAAACCCCCAGGTAAGGAGAGGTCGACTTCATGAAGTCCTCATTGGAACGGACACATATCGTGGTAGATGCAGAATTAAACAAGGTGAGAAAGACATGAGCTCGATCTGGAAAAGTGCAGTAAAACAGGCGAAACGGTTGCTTCTCTAATTCCAGGAGCAACTATAGGGCTAGGGGAGCCAGCCAAGGATGAGGAAATAGCTCACTAGTAGACAGTCCTAGATGTTTCGGTTGACGGCCCATAAGGAGGGGAAGTCCTATGAGTTGTGTTTGGAGAGAGTGGACTCTGGGTACACCCAATCCTCCTTGGTTGAGGCTGGGCAGGAACTGAATAATTGCCTATGCTTGCCTAGAAGTGCATCGGGCCTATGCCAGCATTGAATGGTGACTGGATAAGTGCTTTCCTACTTTCCCTGCTGCCCCTGTCCAGTGACAAATAGGAGGGCCAGGGTTGAAGCCTCTTCCACCCTACAAATCCAGTGGCTAGGTACTCCCCCCTCCTTGCCACTCAACACTCTAATTTCATTAGGGCTGCTTCCCTTTACAGCCATAAAGTTTCTTAATATGGCTCTTCTCCCCAATACGCTGCAACTTCACCAATGGTTTAGGTGGAACTATGCAAGCAAGGTTTAACAGTGAGAGACGGAATTGGACAGTTTTTGTTACCACCCCCCTGTTCCCACTTGGCTATAAGGATGAGTCATCTTTGAAACAGAAAGAGAAGGAAGAAACCTGGAAGACCCTGGAAGAGCACCTTCAAGATCTATGTCTTAAGTGGCAGAGGCCTCTGAGACCACAAGCATTACAGATGGTGGCATGGAGACTCAGAGCAGTAGCACTGAGACTATGGGGTACTTTCTCCTTATCTGGCCTAAGACTATGGAACTGTGGAACAGAGTGTCAGGTGGACTAGCTCCCCATGGAGGCAAAGGTCAAGGGACCATGTGACTGAGGCTGAGAACCAGAGAGAGACATGGCTACCACACGGCTGAGAGGCTGAGAACCAGAGAGAGACATGGCTGCTAGCTAAGGAGAACAATGATTGTATCATTACTGCTTGCTGATCCTGACCTGTGGTAACATATTAGCCTCCCCAATAAATCCCCTTAACTGTGGGGATAGTCTGTGAGTTCTGTGTGGCCACATCAACAGATTACCAAACTCAGTAAAGATGTAGAGTGGTGTGGAGGAACAGTTGGTATCAGAATAATAATGAAGGAAGGAGCATAGAGGCATATTTGATTCTTGCCTTATGGCAATAGGGAAGCCAGGGGAGGGCAGATATATCTACCGTCCCTGTCATTTACTATACCTGCTCTCACTGAACTTTAGACTTGTGCCTGCCATCTTCGCTACTGGAGGTATGCAGATGCATGAATCTGTCCTAGAGGAGCTCTAGCTACTTTCTACCACGGCTATTGATTTGGAAGGGGAAACAAGGCTACCAAACACTCATTTCATCTTAATGTCGTGTGGTTTTATTCTTTCTGGGTTTTCTTTACTTTTCATTTGTTTATTCCTCCCCCCATACTCCTTATCCTCATTTTTTTCCCTCACCCCATCTTCTTTATTTTCTGCCAATCCAGGGGTAGGCAGCTATTTTATTCCCACTAGTTAGCCATATCTATATCACACATATTACCTGTTACCCATCCAAAGGGTGAATGCCATGACTTGCTCCTGAACCACTGCATCAACAAAATACTATGAATGACACCTGCTCAACCTACCCGCAGCTGTTCGTCATGTCCAGCAAACAGAAGCCAACACCTATACTCCAGAGACTCCAAAAACCTGGAAAACAAGTCTCAGTACTGCCAAACTAAGTGCGACCAAAGCAGCACATAAGTCAGGATGATATCAAGATAGAAAAGACTGTTTTAACTTCGATAAAAATAAATTCTAACAAAAGCACAACAAATTTAATAAACCTTCTAACCTGAACATCTGGATATAAATTAGAGCAAAACCATCATAATGAAATAAGCCAACACATAATCAACAAATAAATAGACTAAAACATCCCAGAGACAAACGACTTCAAACCAAACAAAGAGGAAGGCAAAGATACCATAAGCAAATATCCAAAATAAAGAACAATTCAAGAGATAGTATATAGAGCCTTCTAAGAACTCAAAGAAACCATAAACAATATCAAGGAAATACACACAATACCCTAGAAAAATAAAGGAAGACAATACAAAAGGAAAACAACAAAATAAATAAATAGATATTAGAAACTATAAAAAGAACAATTGGAAATCTAGAGGATGAACATTAAAATTTCAGAAATAGTTAATATGTTGAAAAGACAAAAGAACAGACTTGAACCAATTGTAGAACAGACAGGAAAAATTCTAAAAAGAGAAGGAAAATAATGTCATTTCCAACTACTGTAAAAAAAATAAAACACTTTGGATAAACCTTACCACAGATGCTCATGGAAAGAAGATTTAACATCATGAGAGAGATTTAATCCCAAAGCAATCTACAGATAATATGTAACCATGATCCACATTCTATCAATATTCTCTAAGGAGATGGATAAACCAAGCACTAACTTTATCTGCAAAGAAAAGAGACCCCAGATAAGCAAATAAGTGAAGAAGAAAAGCAAAGGAAGAGGTCTCACACTTTCCAAGCCCTACAACACAAATAACGGTAGTCAAAATAGTTCGGTACTGATACAATGACAGATACATTGACCAGTGGAACAGAATAGAGAATCCAGAACTAAAATGTTCTACCTAAGAAAAGCTGATCTTAAACAAAAGGCCAAGTTCCGTTAAATGAGGAACAATCATTTTAACCATTTAAAAAATGGTGCTGACAAAATGGATATCCATTTGCAGCACAGTATGAAACAATATCCATATCTCACATCACATACAAAAATATTCAAAGATGGATAAAACACATAAATGTGAAACCTAAAATTATAAATATTATTTTTAAAAAGAGAGGCAAACTTAGAGAGTGAAATCACAAAATTCATTTGCAGACTCCCCAAGAGGATTAAGCCTCCATTGAACTCCCTCAGAACAATGACCAGGGATGTGAATAGTCTTGTCTTCACATAAAGTGCATTGTAAATTCAATTAATGCAGATACAATTAGGTTAAAATTTAACATCTTACCATTTGTTTACCCTCTTGACTAATTTTTAATTTGTTCTAGTTTCTGTTATCTTCTACATTCTCTTGGATTCAGCTCTTCTTGTGTTTTGCTGTTCTTGCGTATTTTTGTATAATTTTCTTTATATAACACCCAAAACCCAAACTCACAGCCATTGAGTTGATGCCAACTCATAGCAACCTTTTAAGACAGGGTAGAACTGACCCTGTGAGTTTATGAGTCTCGAAGTCTTTAAGGGAGTAGAAAGCCCCATCTTGATTCCTTGGAGCAGCTAGAAGTTTTGAACTGCTGATTTTGCAGTTGGCCATCCCATGCATAACCATGACCACAGAGACAGTAACTAAAATAGTTCTTTAGGGTTATATGAGAGGATGTTTGGGGAGAAGGGGTAATACAGAGCTAATAATAATGGGTATAAGAATGAAGGAAATGTCCTAAAACTGGTTGTGGTGATGATTGCATAACTCTTTTCAATTCATTTAAATCATTGAACTGGATGGCCCATGAATTATATGACATAAAAACTATTAAAAATAAGCAAATAGAAAAACTTAAAAAAAAAACAAAACTCAGAGATCCGAATCAATGGCATAGATTATCAAACATAATTTTAAAGTGCACACATAGCACAAAATAAATTATATAGTAACTGAGATCTTCTATAAATTAAATACCTATGTGGATCAAAGGACTTCTCCAAAAGAGTAAAAAGAGAGCCTATACATTAGGGAGAAAACTTGATAGCATATCCAACATATCAACCTCACCAGCAAAAAAGATAAACAATCCAATATAAAATTAGACAAAGGATACAAACAAGCACTTTACCAAAGAAGACATTAATGTGACCAACAAGCATGTGAAGAAATGCTCAGGATCACTAGCCATTAGTGGTTCAAGCCAAATCAACAAGCTATCATTTCTCCCCAGTAATAATAGTTAAGTTTAGTAAGTCCAAAAAGAGCAAATGCTGATGAAGGTGTTAAGAAATTAAACTATCACATATTACTGGGGGGAATATGTATGGTACGTCTTTAAAAAGTTGAAAATATAAATACCTTTTTGTTTAGCAATCACAATACTAGGTATATATCCTAAAGAAGTAACAGCCAGGACAAAAACAGGTATATGTACACCCATATTCATTACAGTATTATATCATAATAGTAAAGAGATAAGGACATCAATTGATAAATTTTCACCAATTGATCAGTAGCTTGACCATTGCACACATAGAATATAATACTATGGAACATTAAAAAATGAAGAATCTGTAAAATACCTCATAATTTCGATGAACCTATATGATGTTAAGTAAAATAAATCCATCACAAAAGGGCAAGTAATGTATGAATCCACTATTATAAAAAGTCAAGGAAAAGTTTACATACAGGAAAAAAAAAATGAAGGTAACCAGGGATGAGAGGAGTAGTGAGAGGGTAGACACCTACTAACTTGGATTAAGGAGACAATCAATATACAATAAAATGAAAGGCTGACCAGCACAATGTCACTATAAAGGAAGACATGGAAAGATACAAGGGTAAATACTACTGCATACACAATCTTGCACTATCACTAATAGCAAACATTAATCTACATGTGGACACATAAAGAAGCAGGCAAGGTGAATAGGGATAGGGAGGCGAAAGGGACTACATCCACAACTATATAGGTGGAGGGGAGTAATCAGAAAAGGTTGAACCTTAGTTCCAGAAACAGTAGTTTTAAAACATTGGTTGCTTTAAAACTGAAATAAATATACATAACCTGCCAAGAAATAGATTCTTGTATTTTAAAAGAACCTCTTTATAGATAAAGAAACTAAAACTCAGAGTAACAAGTCCCAAAAGATATTGGCAGGGTTAGGACAAAACAACCGATCCTGGTGCTTCCCAATCCATATTTTTTGTTATATTATTTTAAATCTGATTTGACCAAATTCTTATAAGAACATAATATTATGACAATCAATGAATAATTTTGACCAAAAAAACGATCAAAATTACCTGGAGGAACTTTCACTTTGCCATTCAATGACAGGATCCTCTACTGAAGCATCACTTGTGCCAACAGTTTCATCTTCCTGCAATAGATAACAAACAATTGAGATATATTGGTATTGTTAGTTAACATATTATTAATTAACAAAACCCAAGCCACCTTCATGTGTGTCTGAGTAGAACTTATGTTCCAGAGGATTTTTGATTGCTAACCAGATTTTCAATTGCAGCCTATAAGTAGAATGCCAGGCTTTTCTTTAAAGGTAACTCGGGGTAGACTTGAATCTCTAATCTTAGAGTTAACAACGAATGCTAATTATAACATACTTATTATTCCCACAAAAACACAATGTTTCAGTTACAAACTAAAGAATCATTTTTCTATGTATATCTGAAACAATCACATTAAGTTTAAAATATTTTTCTGGAATATACTATGCAACTGATATGAAACATCTTTATTATATCAAAGATAAAATACACTACTTAGATCTATCTACAAGTTTCTTAACTATTCCTTTAAAATACCTACATGCCAAAAAAGAAATACCTACATGCCTTCACCAAGTTAATTATTTTCCATGGACAAAAAATTATTAATATTATGCAAATTTTCAAACAAATACCTCTAGAGGTTCAGAAAATAACGAACTTTTGTATATATAATATCAACAACTTAGACAATTATTCCATGATCTATCTTGTTTTATCTATACCACCTACCTATGGAATTATTTCTAATCAAATTGTAGAACAAAAATTCTTTCATATATATTCACTTAAAAGAGTAGAAAGAGAATTATTTTAAAAAATACTACCAAAATACCATTATTATGTTAAAATGTTTTTTTCTGTTTTTCAATATACGAAACCCAGGATTGATGAACCTATGGGAACAGAAAGTAGAATAAGGGTTTCAGGTGGTAGTAAGCGGGAGATGATGCCAAGGAGTTCAGGAAGAAAGAGAATGTTTGGAACCTGATTGTGGATTCTAGAGGGGGGGGGGAGTTAAATCAATATGGGATCATTTCTTCAAAATCAAGTTTTTGTGCTGAGGGGTATTATTTTGATAAAGGACAGTCTAAGAATCATGATTGACAGGAGAAGGAACATTGTGGGTGCCATACATTGCCAGTGCACAATTTAGCCCCTATTATGTACTGGCACATACAATTGTTAAGAGAACAAAAGGAAAGAACTACAAATGGGAGGAACATTTAAAAATTTGCTATATTCCTTATTCTAGTGCCATAAAGAAGTTATGTTTGAACAAGTAAAGTATTCATATATACAAAAACAAAAGCCAATATTACACTTAATGGAGAAAGTCTGAGAGCCCTCCCTTTGAGAATAGCAACAAGATAAGACTGCCTATTACCACCATTTTAATTCAATGCTGTACTGGAATTCCTAATCAGTGCAATAAAGCAAACAAAAAAAAAGGTATCTAAATTGGACAGGAAGAAGCAACTCTATTTGTAGATGACATAATCCTATACACAGAAGATCCTACAGATTCCACAAGAAAACTAATGGAATTAATATAAGAATTTGGCACCACTACAGGGTACAAGATCAAAACACAAAAATAAGTTGGACTCCTCAACACTAACAAAGAATACACCAAAAATGAAATCAAGAAAATAATAAGCTGTACAATAGTTTCCAAAGGAAAATACTAGGAATTAACATAACCAGAAGCATAACAAAAGTTACACAATGAAAATGAGAAAACACTACTCCAAGAAACTAAATGAGACCTACAAAATGGAAAGACACTCCATACTCATGAATTGGAAGACTTAGCATTGTGAAATAATGTATGTATGTCAATTCTACATAGAGTGATCTACACATACAATGCAATCCTAATTCAAATTCAACAAAAACAGGGAAAGGAATGACACCCTATGTAGTCAGAGCAATATGGAAGAAAAAGAACAAAGAAGGAGGCCCATACTTCCTGACATCAAAACATAATATAATCAAAACAGTCTGGTAATGGTCCAGTGAAAGACCAGAACTGAGAACCAAGAATTAAACCAAGACACCTATGGACACTTGTTTTCAACAAGGGGTCATTGGAGAAGATAAACAGCACTGGCACAACTGGATATTCACTTGCAGAAAAATGAAACAGAATCTACAATTCACGCCATACGCAAAAAACCTAACGCAAAATGGATCAAGAAAGAAAACATGGATCTAGAAGAAAACATAGGGAGAAAACTGTAGCACTTAATCTTTTGCAAAACAAACAAACAAACAAACAAACAAAACAGGAGGAAATATAACTGCAAAAATAAAAGACAAAAAATACATACATAGGACATCATAAAAGTTAAAACCTTATGCTGATCAAAAGAAGTCATTAAAAGAGTAAATAGACAACCTACAGAGTGGGAAAAATATTTGGGAACAACTTACCCAATAGGGTCTAATCTCTAAAATATGTAAAAATGTCAACAACTCAACAACAAAATGATAATGAACTATATTACAAATTAGGCAAATGACAGGAACAAAATCTTCATCACAAAGGATATCCAAGAGAGATATAAATCAAAACTACCTTGGCTAAAATGTCACTGATAAAAAAATAGATTACAGCAAATGTTGGAAAGGATGTGGGAAAACTGGAACTCCTATCCATTGCTGGTGGGACTGTAAAATGGCATAACCATGATGGGAAATGGTACAGCACTTTTAAAAGCAACAAGGAATAAGACTATAAACCTATGATCCAGCAATCACACTCCTAGGCATATACCCTAGAGATGTAAAAATAATGACACACATAGACATATGAATACCTATACCAATGTCCATTCTGCTTTCTTCACAATAGCAATTAAATGGAAATAATTTGGAAGTGCCCATCAGGATGATAAATGATAAGCAAATTGTAGTACAAACACAGAAGACTATGTAACCATAAAGAACAATGACAAGTCAGTGAAAAGTTAATAAGACAGACCTGGAGGGTATAATGCTAAGTAATACAAGTCAAGTATTATATTCACCCTCTTTTAAGAAGATAAGAATAAATACATATAAAGATACCATGAGCACAGGCACACGGAGAGAGCGGTAGGTATGCAAGAGATCGAGCATTTACCTGACAGTGCCACAAGAGCGCCTTAGGACTAGCTCAGGAACATATAAAGGCAAATTCATGGCTACAGATACATATATTTACTGACACAAGTTACAGATCCTTCACAAACATAACTAAAGACCGGTTTCCTGGGTTTGAAAGCTTAGGACCATAGCTCGTAGGACTAGTCAGTCAATTGGCATAATCTGGTCCTCTATTCACCAGAAGCAAAATAGAATTAAGGTAACCAAAAATTCAGAGAAGAAACAGTCTACATAAGCCACAAGCTCATGTACTCAGATACCAGAAGAATTATATGGTGCCCAGTTAACACCACTAATGTTCTGACAAGGCTCACAAGAAATGATCTTGGAGAAAATGAGAGAAAAATAGTAGAAATCAAATTCTTATTTTTTAAAAAAGTAAAAGAAACCAGAAATTAGAGAGCCAAGGACTATATGAGACTATTGCACCGAGACACTACTTAAACCTAAAACCGAGCCGACGTCCCAAGATCATCTTTTAGTGCAACAGAGTGACACACAAATTAAGAGATTAAGACATATACACTACACAAAAACCATCAGTATGAGATCAAAGGATCGACAATACTCAAAGGCAAAAATTAGAATATACAGGGGCAGGGAAATTAAAGTACTGGAAATAAAAAAGGACACGAAAAAAACGTTGCAACCAGTCAGATAAGTGTAACTAATGTCAATGAACAAGTTGTGTTAAAACTGGCAAATGGGAACCTAACGTGTGTACATTCACCCCAAACTAAATAAAATCAAGGGAAAGAAATAAGGTCCGAAATAAAAAATTGACAGTAAGTAGGCTCCATGACTGGGTAAAATAATAACAAAGATTATTTATATTATACTGATTACATAACCAACTCATTCTAGGATTAATTTAATATGCTACCACTGTTTATATTACAGTTCTTTTTGTTTCCAGGAGATTGCTCTATTTCTATGTTCTCATTCAAACTTTCACTGTCTTGTTGGATACTCTAACAAAATAATATCTGAGGTAAAAATCTGGTAAGACATACAAAGAAATTTACTATGATATCAAAAGTTGTCCATAAAATGCCCTATAAGTGAATAAACCTTTTACTATAAAATAAATGAAATACTGTATTTTAAAGAGGTGATTTATAAAACTAAATCCAAATTGATGACATAAAAAGTTCTTATTGAATGAATAAACAACAGATTTCTAACCTCTGAGGAACTCTCTGATTCTTCTTGTACACCAGAATTTTGACATGCTGGTGAATTGTGCTCTATGGTGGAACGTGTCTGATAAGTATGCTGACGCTTGCGCTGTGTCCTTCTTAAAGACCGCCCACAACTAGGCTGATAATCATTCTATAGATAATAAGGAAAAAAGATTTTATAAAATGAAAATCAAGAATTCAAGTAATAAACAAAATGAACATATGTCAATTCAATCAGTTAAATAGGGAATGGGAAGGCAAGCAAGAGGCGGTGACACATCGCAAAGCAGAACATCCAGATACAACGATACCATTAATATTCATCACTCTCCTATTTTGAGAACTTTGTGAACAAGCTAAAGACAATATTGAAAATGTGGCATGTAAGAATTTCCTCACTCAGTTATTTATAAAAACTATACTATTCAGAATCCTCACAATATGAAGTAACATATCTACACCAGTCTGTATTTCTTAATGGTATATAAGGAGATGGTTCGAATCTGCCAGCCATTCTGAGGGGCACAGATTTGGCAATCTGCTTCCATAAAGATTTACAGTCTTAAAAAACCTATGGGGC